TCGGCAGAGCTGCAGCACCAGGACTGCAGAAGCCCACTTCCCAGGTACCGTGCTGGCTTCTCCTCAACACACTGCTCTGCAGAGGTTCAGTGTGTGCTGAGATGACTGGCAATTTAGAGACAAAATAAATCAAACATTGACTTCTAGAGCTAGGAAAGGACACATGTGCGCAGTGAACTTTGTCAGCACTACAGAGTAGAGCAGCTCCTGTGTGACTCTTGTTCAAGAGAAGAGAACAACTTAAATGTGTATGAAGGACACATCTAGTATCCTTATAACACTACTTTAAATGTTAAAATAGACAAAAACTGATATTTAAGTTAATATTTTCTAAATATAATAGAACTCTTAAGTAAATAGGGTAAAGACTATGGCTGGTCCATTTGGAGAAAAATCATTTTGTCTTATAATTGGTTATATTCTGCTCTAGATGCTAGACACATATTACAATGAAAGAAAGAATACACTACATTTTTAAAAAGGTAATGGAAGGGCAGGTGTTCATGGGCAGGAAAAAGGATACAATGAGCTCTCATTAAGATTTATTAGAGAAATTAGCTTTTTACACTCCAGTTAGACTCCAGGGATTAAAAAGACAAAGGTAGAGAGAGAGAAAGCAGACACAGGAAGGTGCCAGGTAACAAATAAATTAATCTAAGAATTTAACTGGAAGAGATTACAGGCAAAACATGAATATAGCCAAGAACATGAAAGGCCAGGGTAAACAGCCCCTCACCTACATTTGATGAAATGCAGTGAAGATAAGGAGCAGGTAGGCGCCTAAATCTTGTTTCATGTATGAAACACACATGTCCCACCCTTTGCTTAATCATTAAGTCTAAGTTACAATTCTGTAATGTGCTGCATGCACTTATCCATCACAAAGGGACAGGAAAACACAAAGACCAGAAGGTATGTACATAGAGGTGCCCAAGTGAGGATAAAAGATAGCCAGGGAGCCAATCAGAGGACAACAACTTCCAGGTGCCCACATGGAAAGATGTAAATAAAAAGGAACTAACGACAAAAATCTAGAATTTTTCACTCTGATGTCCCTTACTCTCCCACAGTAGCTGTCTATACTCTTTCGTTTCCATTTTTTTCTAAATGAACCATCTTCCTTGATATTAAACTTTATCTCTTTAATTCATCACTAAAGCTGGGGGATTGATTATTCTGACAGTTACTTGCTCCAGATGAGAAGCAGTGCATACACCCCACCTAGCCCAACATTTGGTTTCCTGACCAGCATACTATGAAAAAGATGTCTCAGTACTATAAGTGTTCAACATTGGAGTCTTTGGCCACAGATTATCTAGGACCAGCCTTGTAGTTATGAGTTGGCTATAAGAAACACAACTTCCAATAATAAATATTTCAGAGACAATATTATTAAAAAGCAGCACCGTCTTCCACTGAGCCCAAGTTGACTGCTCTCATGGTTTGAGATTGGAGCCAAAAAGTGCTGTTAGAGTACTCCCTTGTAGACTTTAAAACTGTAACTAAAATGATAATATTTAAAATGCTGTAAAAAGAATTTTAGACAAAAATCTAACAGCCTTTCTCTTTATTCCAACAACTACATCTTTCATATATGTGTGAGGGAGAAAGCTGACAAATGTGCCATGCTAATGTGTAATTAATGTTTACCAGACTTTGGGTACAGGCTTTAATCTGTGAGTTTCTTAGACATATTACAAATACCAGGGTAAAAATTTATAGACTGGTTTTAAATAGAACCCAGCCTATCCCACTGGAAAAAAAATGTTAAGGAGACAAAAGCAGGAGTTTGTTATATTACTTTCTAATTGGCAACAATATTTGCAAACTGCTTAGTTCAGAAGAAGGGTATAATAATATTAGCAGTTTAATAAGTTTTCTTAAAAATTAGCAGTTTAGTAACTTTATTGCTGAATCATTGGCCTAGTTATTGGTTATACATCCATTACAGCTCATACTGAATAACAGTATAAGCAAGTATTCAATGATGCTATTTAAAAATATTTTGCTCTTGCCATTAAAAGAAATAAAATTATTTTTAATAAAATGATATAAAACAGAAATTAATATTGAAAATTAAGTGGTAAGCTTCCTTTGTATACTTTTTTACTCTTAAATTTCAAGTTCTTTCAAAGGCAAAAAATACAAAGAAGTCAGAGAAATGGTAAAGGAAGACAGAAAATGAATGCTATCAGAATTAATACGTTTTTGTTTTCTGCAAAGTCAGTGTAAATTTGGAGACATTGGCTGTACTTCTGGATTTTATTAGATTTAGAAATAATAGCCAGAAAACAGTGTAAATATGTTAATATTAATGGCCATTTCAATGGGCCTAGTGAAGTTAATTTTAAATAATTATTACAAGATATATATTGCTGTCATGACCTTCTAATAAAGTGTAGAGAAAGTACAATATTACATAAGGGAAAAAAAAGTAATTTTATGTAATGATTAAATTTTCCAATCACTGACATTTAAGCAAGCAAAATATAAATTAAAATTACTCATTAATAATGACCATGATAGCCTTAAAACATTAAAAATGTATATCCCAGAACAACAAATGCATTGTAGAAATCTTTAAATTACATGGGATTAAATACATTGAAGATTATAAAGAGTCAGCTTGTTAATCTTTGGTGGTCCATGGAGGTCAATAAAATCTCATTTTATTGAAGTAAAGAATAATAGTGTAGTCAGTTAATAGTAGATATATATATTTTCTTTCCTTTGAAGTCATACTTAGGTATTATAGGATTTAATCTTATTTTTGTTAATATAAGTATCTTTTATCTTATTGTCTCATTTCCTATTTTCTCAAAATATTTAAAAATTGCAAATTCAAAAGTTAAAAAAAATTGAAGATAAATAGTATTTAGGTACTAATTTACAGAGATACATATCCATTCTTGGCAAAAGTAATAACTCATGTAAATTATGTCTGATGAGATTTTGCTCAGAAAGTTAAAAACAGGCAAGAAACAGGATGATCATTTAGAAGCTAAAAGCATTAAAAGGAAAAGAAATATCCAAGAAAGTTTAACAAAAACTATTGGATAATTGATAAATATTCATCTGAAATTTAAATTAGAGAGAATAAAATATCTAGAGTAAAAGGTTACAGAAGCTTTGGTATGAGATTTTATTTTATTTTATTTATGTTTTTGGTAACGAGGATTGAACTTGGGACCATGGGTATGAGAAAGATTTTAGTTTGAATAATACTTCAAAATGCTGGCTATGGGCCAGGGATTTAACTCAACGGTTAGGTGGCCTGCCTTGCAAGCTCAAGGACCCAAGTTCAATCCCTGGTACTGCCCCCCCCCAAAATCCTGGCTATATGATTTTATTTTAACATGCTTGATATTCTGAAGCCTCAATATCCTCTCCTGTTATAATGAGATTTTATTGTAATAGAAGAAATCCATTGCAAGGAGGAGCGGAAAATATATATAAATCACTTATCACAGGGTGTAGTGAATTGGAACAATTCAATACATTAACATTAGGGTATCTATGAGTTTGAGCCAAGCACTCATAACTTGGAACAAAACAAAGAATTTGGATATCGTAGTATTTAATTCCTAACAATTAAAGATTCAGGATCTTCCTGTTTTGTTACTATGTGATCTCATGATGTATTATTCTTCTCCGTGGTCAGCTCTTTTCCAGGTACATGCTCTTACATCATAACCCTTGAACATCGTGCTAACCTAGTTCCAGGGCCATACACTGTCTCTGCACCCATCCAGATATAGTATAAAAAAGGTAAATCTTGGCATCATATGTCCCTTTGAACATTTCCCAGTTATTTATTAGGAACAAAAACCAATGACCTTAAGCTTATAGAGACTGAAAACATTAATTGAACTAGTTCACTCATTCTTGAAATCTTACCATCCTTTGCAATGTTTTCTCATTTCTTTCCACTTCATATTTTTCAGCTTCAGAAATCATAAGTCATCAGTAATACCACTAACACCTTGTCATATTTCAAGCCTCCAATTTTGGGCATGATTTCCCTCTCACGCTTGCTCAGCAGGAAAATTAATTTCATTATGTAACAATTTCCTCACGCATTTCTTCATCTCCAAAGGTGTTCCAATTGCAAGCCTTTCCTTGTCAGGCCATGCATATTTCCTCTACATACTGTTCGGTTTTGTACACATTTTAATTGGATAATTACACTGTAAAAGCTTCTTTGCATTTCTGACTTCTCTGCTTGACTGTGAAACCTCAGATTTCTTATCAGTCTTGGTGGTAGTCTCACTACCTAACAGAATATTTAGTAGAAAAATCTATTATGAAATAGTAAATAATAAAATTTAGAAGTATCAGAAATAGCAAAAGCCTATTTGATATTTAAACAAACATTTAGATTAATTTGAGTGATAGACATAGATGTTTTGATATTAATAGTCATTGATTATAATTTTCTATCATATAAACACTATATTATATTGAAGGTCAGATAAAATTAATATAGACCATTTTGAGCAATGGTTGTGTTTTGTCATAAATTCACACCTTAGAAAAAAGATAATAAAGCCTTGAGTACTTTTTATTTTTATTATTAGACTTTATTGATCAAATATTATATATATGTATATACATTCTTAGACATGAACACAAATCATTAATATAATAGCTTTGTCTAAAGTTCAGTTTCCTCTAGATGTCTTCAATCAGCATGACAATTTTCAGACAATTTCTATCTTCCACAGAATATGTAAATAAGGTTTAATCTCATTTTTAAACTGAGGTAGTTGTCATCATATTTTATCCAAAAAATTACTTAGTTGGTTTCTGTCAGGCCATAACATTAGAATATAGCTCACTGTATTATTTCACTATGTTTTTTAATCATTTAGTTATCAAATTGTAATAATAGAGAACACGGCGATATAAGAAATTTCAAAATAGACAGATGGAAGTGGAGGACTCATGATTTAAAGATCTATTATTCATATTCAAATAATAAAACAAAAATGACTACATACCCAGCGCTTTACTATAGTAGGAATCCCATGGTTTCCAAAGAGTTTCAAACATGTAGTCCTGTAGGTGGTAGGAGATGAAATTTCTTATTCTGTCAGCAAATGTCATCTGATCAGTGAGCTCTGATAAAATAGCAGGAACATAGGAAGGAGGGTATGGTACTTTCCCACAGTGCTTTTCCACATTTGAGGCTGGAGAAAACCTCAAGGAATAGATGAATGGAATTCCCAGCTTTAAAGCTACTATATCACCACAAGGGAATACTGGATCTGACAGTAGGACTTCAAACTTGCCTTTCTTCAGCTTTTCCATCAACTTTTCATTTTTCAGAGCACCATCACAGATCTCTCTAGACACCATGTGGAAGTCCTTTATGACTTCAGTCATCTCCCGATAGAATCTCCAAATGGTCAAAGGAGATGGCCTGTTTTCCAGCCATGTCAAAACAAAATCCTTGATCACTTTTTCTATTTTTTCTTTTTCAAAAGACACTTTATATACTTCAAACGTCAGAGATGGGTGAGATGATGGTGTGATGAAAAGTGCACCAGAGGCAACCAGAACAGTCACATTATGCTCTTTTTTAATGAGCTCATCTATGATGATCTTAACATTGAGCCAGTGGCTGCCTTCCATTGGCCAAATCAGGATGTTCCCACCAAGAGTAGTTCCTAGGAGGCTTATCTGAAGACACAACAGCAGAATGCTGCTTAACAACATGCTGATCCGTGTCTTGATGCAGAAGATTTGAGGAGACTGGCAACAAATGAATGACTCTGTCTTGTAAGCAAAAAGACAAAAGAAAATGACAAAAATTAATCTCAGTATTGATCCAAACATTTGATACCCTAATAGGCCTCCTCTCTACCAAATGAAGTTAGGCGTGCTAGCTCCGTAGTTGATGGCAATTACAGATTTAAGATTAATATCTTTAACTGCGTTGCGGTAGCCTGTGTTGTGATTCCTACTCTCTAATGTTTCTTTTGACCTTGAGCCTTCAACCGGTGGTTGTAGCTCAGGCTTTCAAAATTTTCCACATTACATTTATTAAAGCCTTTTTATATCTCAGTTTTATACTTAATGCTATGTACTGGAAGTTCAAATTGGAACACTCGAGTGTGAGTGAGAGTTCCCTCACACATGTAGAGATGCTAAAGTTACTGCTGTGATTTTTTTTTTTGATATTTAGTAGAGGCACATAATTCCAATAATTAAACATTATTATAAAAACAATAACATAATATTAGCACAAGGAACAGTATAAAAATAAGGTAAATGTAAAGTGTGTTGCTAATTTAATAACAATTTAAAATAAATACTGGGAAAATATCATTATAAATAAATAAAATATGCATAAATAATATGTGCAAGACATATGGGTATTATTAGTGAATGGGGTCTATTTAAAGAGAATGGCTAATTTAAGCACATTTTCTCCAAAAAGTAGTCTTCAAGAGCTAAGTAGCCTGGGTGGATAATATTACTCCAGACTTCATCTTCTAAAAGTGCTAGTATTTAACAAACCCTTGCTGTATGACATTGTACAAATATTTGACATGTATTAATCTCATTAATCTCTCATTTTGATGAGATTCAATTAAATAGATGCTATAAATATTTCTGCATCAGAGAACATTGAATCCCTTGCCAAGTTCATATAACAACATAAGGAAGGAATTAATCCTTACTGGACGATAACTTTTAAAATTTCTGTCTCCTAGAGCCTACAAGTTGATTAGGAAGATTGAATGCCTTACCAGAATATAATAAAGGCCACAAATTGCAGTGTAATAAGACATACAACATTACAAAATGAACACATATTTAAATAAATAAAACTGTTTTCCTTTGCAAACAAGTAATGTGCTTGGACTAAAATTTGTTTAAAATCTTGTGGACTTCCTTCTCTTTGTCCTGCCTAAAGAAAAATACAAGTATCTTTATATGAAAAGAAACAAGTAAATTATTGGGGGTGTTATATAGATAAGGATTGCTTCTATTTGGGATAAGGTGGTAGTGGAAAGACAGATGATAGCAGTGCCTTCATGAGTGATGTGACTTCTATACTTATTTTGAAGTGTTAAATTTGAGATTCTCTTGTTTTTTTTCTTGTTTTTTAATTAAAGAGGAAACTAAGTAAAAAAGTCACATTGAGAGATGATTAACATGTTTAAAAGAAGATAGACTATTCAAATATTGTATCATCTATATTCATAATAAAATGTGTAGTTTGCAAAGGGAGAAATAATGTATCCGTGTTACTAAAATTGGACATTGTCTTAACAGTTACATTAATAACATTCAATATTGCTTTAACAGAGAATTTTCCATAGAGAATCATTAATTTGTTTCTTTTTTTAAATAATCGAGTGAATTTGACTATATGAAATGTATTTGATCTCTATTTAAAACATTAATTTTAAAGAATCTGAATATTTTGAAATTCATTATATAATCTTAGCGAAGTATCACTAATAGGTGACATTTACATCCTCTTATACACATGCTACTCTAAAGACCATAGCAGTTCACCGTGTGGATCATCCTGTCTTTAGCATATATGAGCTTTAGTCCTGTTGGCTTCTTATGTATTCCCCAGTGAAGGAACAACTAACTCTCCAATGGAAGGCACTAGGTTTATAAGATAAGCCTTTAAAGAGGGCAATGAGTTCACACTTAAATAAAACTCTCCATTTACTGCTATGTAATGCACATCTCCTGATGTGTATAAAATTATCCCAAAATATAAAGGTTAAAATGTAGAGGTTAAAAAACCTCTCTGATTATTATAGAGCACAGCTGAAAAATTTTTCAAGGGGAAGTAGTGACAGAAATTTAAAGTTAAACCTCAAACATTCAATGATGGTTATTCCTTTTAAATGAAAATATAAAATAAGCTCAAATTTACTCTATATGCTGGATTATCATGTAGGTTCCAAATAACTTACCTGAAATTTCTGGCGGAAACTTTAGTGGCACTCATTTTCCATCAGGAAAAACCTGAGCTTAAATAAATCCTGGCTGGTTTAAGGTGGTATGATAAACAATATAATCTTAAATAAAGAAAGGATTAAATAGATTTGTTTACACTTAGTAAGGCTATCCACTACATTACGAAGCTGATTACCTTCAATTAAAGATATACCTTCCCAAGGTGCTCTCGTAGCTATCTTTATTGAATATTGCCTTTACTATCTATGAGGGATATATCTGAAACAATATCTGATTGTAGTCTTGACAGTATTAAGAAGTAAATTAATATATCAAAATATTATTATGAAATAATTGATTTACAATAAATATTTTATTATATATCTATTGCTCTCTCTTGTCTATGCTTCCCATTGATGTGAAAAATACCTGAGAATGAAATCTTACACGTGGGACTGCTTATTGACAGAGGAAATCTGCTTACCTCAGAACAACTGGGAAGAGGAGAACCCCCACCACAGGCTTCCCTTCTTTTCCCCTTTGTTCCAGCTAGGCCCACAGCCTCCTGGATGAAGCCATCATCACCATCACTCAGGGTATGTGTCGTCTGTGTTTGTGATCCCACAGACAGACACACGCAGAAATGTGTTTTTCTAATTTCCTAAACATTACTCAATCCAGTCAAGTTGACCAAAGATTATCTCTCACTGAAATCTGAGGGATTACAATGGGAAATGTTATTGATCTTTATCATATATTAGAAAATGTGGTAATTTATATTATTAAATAAATGTTTTAAAGACACACTCATTATTCAATATCATTGAGAACAAAAATTACCATTATGTTTCTTTGTGCTATCCAAAGTAAATTATTTTAATGTGTATTTTGGCTTAGTGTCCCAAATATACCATATATATTAAGTAATATCTAAATATCGAGATAGAACATCACCATTCTTTCTTCTAATGGATAAACAAGTATGATAATGAAATAAATACAGAATATGTTAGGAAATAGTCCCACCAGAGACACATGCTACCTACATGTACCAACTCTCCACAAAAAAGGTGATCAGTATAAACTACAAATATGTACTCATAAAAAAGAAAAATTGAATAGTAAAATATCTGACTACAAACATTCTTTGCCCCTATATGGCATGCAAATTCAATATGGAAAAATGTGGGCTGGGGGTATAGCTCAGTGGTTCTCCCTCCTGCCTTGCAAGTGCAAGAACCCTAGTTTGATCCCTGGTACCAAAAACAACAGCAAAACAATACAAATCAATAAGGATAAAAGATAATTATTGCACATTTGATAGGATACTTTATAGATTTTTCTCATGTTTGGATTGTTAGAATAATTTATTTATCAACTACTTAAAAATAAGTCATCCAGAAAATATTTCACCATGACACCTCATTTCTGATCTCCTAGGTGTAACTCATGAAGTTTACAATCCTCTTGGTATCTCCATATGAAGTTTAATTTTATGTGATGGATTACCTGAACATAAGGACCAGAAAATCATTCCAGCACTATTCTGGATTTCTGTCAGGTGTTTCTTGAATGAGATTAATAAATTATCAAGTTACTTTATACAATGTGAATGAATTTCTTCTCTTTAGTTGCAGGCCTTTAAAGGACAAAGACTAATCTGCCCTACGTAAGAAAGAATTTTACCAGCAGACTGCTTTTTGGCTCGAATTGCAAGCTTTTCCTAGTCTACAGCCTGCTTGCCTGTCCTGCAGATTTTGAAGTTCTTGTTTCTCCAAAATGGCTTGACTAATTTCCTTAAGTTAAGTCACCCTCTCTCCGTTGCTTTCTCTGTCTCTTTGCACAGGCACATGCACTCACGCATGTACACACACACACACACACACACACACACACACACACACATACACATGCACACACGCCTGCACATCCCATTGCTTCTGCTTCTCTGGAGAATCCTGACTAATGAACTCTATATGAGATGACTCCCGCTACTCGCTGATTTTGCCCTCATTCCTTGGCACAAGTTTCTGGAAAGGCCTTGTTTGCCCTGAGATATTGAAGGCAGTATCTGCAAGCCTTCTTAAGGCCTGTGCTTTGAAGGTGGCTCATGCTGCTGTAGATTGCACTAGGTCAGTCGGAAAGGGAACCATGACAGCTGGTTGCCAATAGTCAGTTGCATAATGCCTTCTCAAGGGACCCTCCTCTTTAGCAGCCTTATGAATAACTGTTTCTATGGTGACCTTTAGTTTTTTCAATATGATTGTAGTTTCATTGTATTTTAAGTTTTCTGTGATTTGACATTTTGGAGCACTTTCAATGTTCCCTGTGGTGTTTTTAAATATATTCTCTAATCACATTAATAAATGTAATCATTTCCACAATCTTTTGAGGTACACAATACCTCAAAATTTTCATTTTTCAATGAGAAAAATCTAAGACAAGGGAAGCTCATGCAACTCTCCCAGTGTCGCTCAGAAACTTAATGAGATGGCCAGGATTTGAATATAAGCTGTCTATGTTCTACATGTTCAACCAAAATGTAATTAAAACTTGATTTTTAAAGTGTCGGTTTGTTTATTCCCTTGGAATTTTGAATGGAACAGTACAAATTGATCTGATAGTCAGTTAATATCCTTTCCATTTTCCCAGTTGGTGTTGATACACTTCTTTCACCTTTTTTTCCTATATAAAGACAAAACAAAACAAGAAAGTGAATAAAATGTTATCAATATAGTCTAAAGTATTATAAAAATAAAATAATTATGTAGATCAATTAATAAGAAACA